GCCACGAGTTAACGCATGATTAATAGCACACTTTAGATGTATTAAATATAGCTTATATTAAATATAGAGTATCATTATCTTAAACCTCACAAGTCAGCCTTTTATTGTCTGTCACATTTTAATTTAATTCCTAAAGGACAAGGCAAGCTCTGGGTGAGCAGAAAGACCATGCAAAGGCCCAAGTCCATCAGCTGGTGGAAGAGATCAACCAACTAAAGCAACAGCTACAGCAGGACCAGCAGAAGCTCTTAAGCCAGCAAGAAATTCAGGATCAAAAGCAAGAGGAACAAGCTAGGTCAGTATTACGCCTGTAAACATCAGCTCATATTTCAGCTCGTAGTACTTCAGAATATACACTGACATTAAAGGGATGGTTCAACCAAAAATAAAAAAATAAAAATTCTGTCATCTTCAACTTGTTCCAATCCTATCTGAAGGTTGACATACTGAAGGTTGTCGGGGGACAAAAAACACTCATTGACTTCCATAGTATATATTTTTTCTAACTATGATAGACTATTTTTTTCTATCAAAGTTTAGAACCACTTGAGTGTGTGGAAATTATTTTAGTGTGAACTATCCCTTAACTGTCTGTTAAAGTGAATGACAGCTATTGTGCAACACACTGTTGGTGGTACTGGTGTGTTTCAGGATGCTTTTAGAAGTTCAGACTAAGCTTGCTCAGAGAGAGGAAGAATTGAAGCGAGCAGCAGAGACTCATAGCGAGGAGCTGAGATGCTTGCAGATGGATGTAGAGCAGGAGAGAGGAGAGAAAGAGCGTGCTCAGACCCAGCTGGGGAAAGAGCACAAGAGGAGACAGTCGGTGGAGGGCCGTTCTGCAGAAGCCAGCAGGCTGAGAAGCCATGTGGAGGAGTTGGAAGATGAAGTTTCCAAGCTGCGCAGGCTGATGCAGGAGGAAAGAGATGCAGCTAAACATCACACTGTGGAGTGGCAGCAGGAGAAACAACAGCTATGCACACAGATTGAGGAGGAAAGACAAGACCTCCACAGGCAACTGGCTGAGGCTCGACTGCAGAGGTGAGAGAGTATGAATGCACTCAACGGGTGTGTGGTTCCTATCATAGAGTCTGTCATGCAGCATACTTTGTGTGTGTATCAGTTTGTCTTTTGTTGTTGTGTTTAATTCGTCTTTTTATTCATTTACACCCAGCACAAGTGATTCTGAGACTGAACACTGGAGAAACTTGTATGAGGAGCTCTATGCTAAAGTTAAACCATTTCAGGTAATCTAAAACAGAATTTTTGGGGAGGGACAAAGAGCTAACTAACATATTTTACTTGTGTGATTTCAGCCTTTTTTCTGTTGTACAAAAAAAAATACTAAAATTTGAGGTTGTGTAAAACACAAATATGAATAATTTTTGTTTCTGTTTTGGCAGAGAGGAAGTAGTCTTTTCTGATCAAACCACAGACAGTAGTTTTTAGCAGTTCCCATCACTCTCATTCTCTGTGTTGATCCACATTTTGAGTATCACATGAGAAACCAGTGGTGGAAATGCCAAATTTTTAATTTTAAAATCCAAAAAATTAATTTCCAATAAGGTTTTTATGCTTCTTTAGGTGGTTTCAGACTTGTGTGAAAGGATTGTGAATTATGATAGATGGAAGTAACTAGGACTTGGTGAACATTACTGTTGGTTACTAGATTCCCAATACTATAGTCGGCTACTTTGACAATTTAATGGAAACGCACGTGATTTGCATCTGAGTTTTATTACTTTTTTTTTTTTTTTTTTCAAACCCAGTATGTGTGCGTGTGTGTATGCAGACAAATTCCACTTCCAAAACTTATTATTTTTATTTTAAATGTAATATGCTTTTTCTTGTTTGTTTTATTTACTTACTATACTGCTGTCAGCCATCAGGGGTTGATCAATATATTTTAGTGTCATTCTTCTGGTTTGCTGCAACTTTGATTTAATGCATTTGGGCATATGCATGGTGGCAGAGAGAGCTTAACGTGCTACAATTTAAGACACAGGCAGTTAAAAAAAAATACCTGCAAATTAAGAAAAGCTCTTCATTTATTTTACCGTACACGTGCTGTAAATCTTTACAACGTAAACGCATTTAAAAAAAAAAAACACTGCATTTTCCCACAACGTAAACAAATTGAAAAAACGTGCTACATTTTCTCACAACAAAACAATTTACGAAAATTATCTGTATTTTCTCACAATACTTTCAAAAACATCAAAACAAGTGGACCCAAAAACGTGCTCCGTGAAATTGTAAATGATCCTTGAAAGGTGAGTTTTTTTATTTTTATTTATTTTGTATGCATATTTTGTATTCATATTATATATTGTATTTTGTAAACATATTTAGTATGTTTAACATCCTGATTTCCTTGTCTTTTGTATTTTATTAGCCTAAATAACCATAACCTAAATTGATGGATCTGTCACATTTTAGGATCCTCTTTCCTTTAACATTCCATGCTGTTTGAAAGTGTTGTGAGAATTTAGTGCGCTTTCTTAAACTGTTTACATTGTGAGAAAATGCACCACATTTTTAAAAATGTGTTTGCGTTGTGTGAATTTAAAGCACGTGCTGTCAAACAGATGAAGATTTTCCTCTTACTTGGCTGTAATTTTTTATTTTTTTTTATTTTTTTGTAATCGCATGCGTTTCCTTAAACTGCAGCATGTTAAGCTCTCTTAGCCAATGTACATATGAGCATTTACACAATGACAGCAGTCCAGCTGAGTGAGTTTTTGATTACTTTTGGACGGGGTTTTAAGTGAAAAACCTTTACATTTCAAAACATATTAACATCTATTTTTATTGTTGTCCAATTGTTATTTGGATTTATAAACTCATTTTTTGTACACAGAATCATCATGTACAAATCATCATTTGTATAAAAAAATTAAGGCTCATCTATTAAATACCTAACAGCACTTTTTAAAATAATAATTAATACATAGAAACACCGGCCTCAATTTACAGGCATTGTAAAGGATGAGCAGATTTATTGATTTATTTTTTGTATACATATACAAAATTGTAGAGATTTCTTCTAAATGGATAAGAGTTGAATAGTAAATATGCTACTATAGACCATTTTGAGGACTGTAAACCATAACAATGGTTCTATTGTATTTCCCTTTTTTACATTTTTCATTCTGATAGCTTTTGATAATCCAAAACGGTCCATAAATTGATGATGTTATGACAGCTGTTTTAACGTGAAGATATGATTGAATTGCTGCTGGTTACGGTTATAAAATAGCATGATAAGAAGCAGGAAATGTTCATGAGCCAATGACATAAGCATATTGAAATGGTCTATAATCTTGTTTGTCTGCTTGTTCTGGTCCTCAGGAACAGCTGGACCGTTTTGCAGCAGAGAGAAGCGCTTTGTTGAATGAGAAGGGAGCCACACAGGCCGAGCTGAACAAGTTAGCCGATGCCTACGCCAATCTGATGGGCCATCAAAACCAGCGGCAGAAGATCAAACACATGGTCAAACTCAAAGAGGAGAACTTGGAGCTCAAACAAGTAAGGGATTAATTAATCATAAGTAAGCTGTCAACGTTTGCAGGTGCACAGCTGACCTTGTCCACATGTTCTGTAGGAAGTGTCTAAACTAAGGTCACAAGTTGGGAAACAGAAGCAAGAGCTGGATCGACTTAAGTCCAGCAAGACAACACGGAGGTTCGACCCCAGCAAGGCTTTCAAACACGAGCTTAAAGAGAATCAAAAGCCCAGCTCTGCTCTTACACAAGGTGAGTTAACGAGAGGCCAGGAGAACAGCACACAGTAGACTAGGCCTGACATGATTTAATATTGCTTTTTTATGCCAGTAGTTTTTAATGATCTTACATACAGACATTGACATTACATGGTCTGTATTATCAGAATAAAAATAATTCTAAACTAATAATACAGTAGCAAATACAAACATACACGTATAACACCCTAAACATAACCTGCAGGTTTGACTGATACAACAATAACGAAAAAATCTTTTGTTCTTTTAAAATTGTTCTTGATGTATAATTCTACATTTAAAATGTGAATAGATGAATTTTGGAAAAAAAGGAAAAATATTTATAATCTTCATCCATCTTTAGACTGAGGCTAATTATTTTCCAGTAGATGGCAGCAGTCTTCCACTACTTTCACATAGTTCATTTTCGTGAACTGTGAAACTATGGTATTTTATCCAAGGTTATCATACTGTTCCATGCCTACTGGGGATATATCATTTTGGACAATGTAAAATGTTTACGAAACCACTGCTACAGTATCTGAGAGCAGATGAGAAGAAAAGATGCATTTTATGCAAACTATGAACAATATGTTGTCTCATTATCTTTGATTTTGTTTCTTATTTAACTCTTCTTTTTAAAGGCAACCGATATCCGCATTGAGCAGCCATTGGTGGACTTGTTTTGTGGAATAACCCAGGCTTCTGGGTGACTGGTCAACATGGACACTGACAGGTGATTGTCTGACACTCAAACGTCTTAACTGTGGCTCCACTATATGTCAAATTGTGGATATTATTTATGTATGTTCTGTTTTTTTGTGTGTGCACATGAATTTAATAGTGTTGTTAATGTATATTATGGGACAACCTGTTCTTTTTAGATGTTGGTTTGGATTTGACTTTATTGGTGAAAATGTAAATATAAGGGCTTGGCATCACTTAGTATTTTCTGTTTACTGGTTTTGTTCAGCTTTTGTCTTAACTTTCCTTAATTTCAAAAGTTAGCCCACTGTTTGTTACATATTTGTTTTAGTTTTCCAATTAACAGTATGTTGCACCATTCATTTTGTCTTTGTATGAAAGTATCATTTGACTTGTTTTTAAATAAAATAATTGATTTTTCTCCCTTATTCCAATCTCATCATAACACTGATATTTTATTCATTGATCACGATTTCTCATCTGTTAAAGATCAAATGTTCCAGCAGATGGTGCTACAAGCCAAGGAAAAGCACCATGTATTTCAGTCAATTTATTTGTTGCTTTCGGTGGATCTTTACTACAAGCTTCCATTTGAAATGTCAAGCAAACAATGACTTTTCTTGCGTGTAATGGTCATTTATTGCTAAGCTGAACATGCTTTGCGCTGGCTGTTCAGCTGCAGTAGTCCTCCAGGTGGTAGATGGTGCAGGGCCTGTGGCAGCATTGCTCCACAATCCCCCTCTTCATCTTCATCACCTTCTCTTTCAGCGGATCCGCATCTGCTGCCTCATAACCTGCTAAATTTGAGAGCAAAGCTGGGAGGAGAAGAGGAAGGAGTTAGTTAAGACGAGACCATTAAGGTGAAAATGGGCAAACAATTAATTATCATTTATCACCAGTTGATTGATTACATTGAAAGGTCAGTTCACCCAGTAATGTAAATCGTTGTCAATTACTCACCCTCATGTCATTTCAATTCCCTGAGACCTTTGTTATTCGGAACACAAATAAAGATATTTTAGAGCTTTCCGGCCCTCTGTAGACCGCAATGCTCCAGAGACATTCAAAGGAACCAAAAGCATTCCATGTGTTTTCAGTGGTTCAACTGTGACCATGAACAATTTTGTGCACCAAAAAAAATGCAAAACAAGTTTGTTTGCTCGTCTGGCAAAGCAAATAGTAAATGCCCACCTTGACAAAGACATAGTTATTTATTATTATTTATTTGCACAACTATTTTCATTGAATTCGTATGATTACAGTAGAACCACTGCAGTCCTGTGTAATGTTGATAATGTTTTTGGTTCCTTTTCTGGAGTTTGTTGTCTAAAGAGGATAAGAGTGTGCATCCAAAAAAAACATTTGTGCTCTGAAGATGAACAGGGGTCTTCAGAGCTTGAAACGACATGTGTAATTAAAAATCTTTTTCCAAAAAACACAAATTTCTCTCCTTCAGTTGGTCCAAAATGCTAATGCTGGATTCATTTGTAATAGTAGGAGACTTGACCACATTACCCCTCTTCTAAGGGGTCTCCATTGGCTTTTAAAGTGCTTTTACTGGTATGTAAATCCCTTCATAATCTAGCCCCAACCTATCCCTCAGAGCTGCTGCATTTTCACACTCCCGTACGATCTCTTAAATCAAGTGATCAAAATCTTCTTTTAGTTCCTCAGTCCAGACTGAAATGTTGTGTTAAGCGTGGCTTTTTAATATTATTTTAATAGTCCTTTCTGAACTTTAACTTGAACATTAATAACAGTTTTTTTTTGGGTGAACTAACTCTTAAGTAAATATTTTTGTATCATAGATCTAATATATTATCATTAAATATGCAAGTGAGACATTATTTAATCAAATATGTGCTAATTTGCATACATTTATATATCTAAAATCTTCAAAATCCTGTTCAGAAGTCTAAAATCCTGGCTTCTTAGCTTGAGTATAAGAGTCAATTGTTTTTACAGAGGGGTTGTGTGTTTTACTTCACAATTCAGAAAAAAATGGTGGGACTTTATTATTATTATTATTATAAGAAGAATATATCTCTTTTTGTAATAACCTACAGAATCCAGATACACACAACTAAAGTTTGGTGTATGAGCTGCTTAGAGGAGAGGAGAATTTACAGCTCAGTGCAGTGCAGAATACCGCTTAAATGTTTTGTAAAATAAAACTTTTAGAGAAAAACTGGAAGTGCTTAAAGAAACACTTGGTGCAATGGCCTCAAAGTCAAGTCCGGGAGGGCTGCAGCTCTGCATAGTTCAGCTCCAACCAGCTCCATCTCACACCTGCTTAATAGTCTCTAGTAGTCTTGAACACCTTGATTAGTTGGATCAGCTGTGTTTGATGAGGGTTGGAGCAAAACTGTAGAGCTTCGGCCCTCCAGGAATCCAGTTGGAGACCTATGACTTTGTGTATTTTGAATGCTCTCCTTCCATCTCAAACTGGATTCCTGGAGGGCCGCAACTCTACACTCTGTTTTGCTCCAGCCCTAATCAAATACAGCTGATGCAGCTAATCAAGGTGTTCAAGACTACTAGGGACTATTAAGCAGGTGTGAGTTTTGAGGTAAACTGCAGAGCTGCGGCCCTCTAGGAATCCAGTTTGAGCCACTGCTTTATTATATATATATATATATATATATATATATATATATATATATATATATATATATTTATTTATTTATTTATTTTTAAAAAATTACTATAAAATCTTCAAATCGTCGGTTTCATGGTTAAAGTGTCCTACTGTGCACGTATAAGTTGGAGACGTTGCTCACCCAGCAAGGTCTCCAGGTCTCTCCTGCCTCTGTTTGTGTAGAAGAAACCTCTAGGCCCACACACTAGGTAAAGCGCATCCACCAGGCTTGAACCACACAGATGCTGGGATGGAGAAGACTGTGATCCAGGCAGAGACGCCAGCAGCAGGATTAATACTGACGCCTGCAGCAACAGGACCATGGTGGACACAGACTGAGGACATGCACACCCTGCAATTCAAGATTTGATATGCTTTGTAACATCAATAATTCCAGTTAGAATAAATTATTTAAATACAATATTATTCCTATTATTATTATTATTATGTTCTTGATATTTTATAAAATGAATATATACATATATAAAATATTAAGTTTTATATAAAATGTATAATCAAAATAACAATTAAATATTATTAACTTTATTAAAACAGCATTAGAATTAAACAGTCAAGTAAATTTTTGAATTCTCTTTTATAAAATGAAAATATCGTGTTCTTTTTTTAAACGAAAACCCTTGTACTCTTGTAAATAAACTGCACCAAATATTCGAAGAAAGTTTGTACTTGTTATCATTATTACAATTGTTTTTATAACCATTAACACAGCAGACTGTAAATGTGTATTGTGAAAAGTGCTCTACATATAAATGTAAAACGACCATCATCATTTAAACAGAATAAAAACACCTAACATTAGTTTCCTGCTTCCTTTGTTATCTCATTATCATTTAAAAAAGCAGCCCAGACCTGTCTGTTTTCCCACTTACCTTTTCCTGAGTGAGCAGAGTCTGTGAAGAGTGGCCAGGATTGGGCCTGAATTGTGCTGCTTATATACCTTCCTGCTGCCTGGCCCATTGCTCTTGATGGCATCAGCGGAAAAACAAAAGTTCCCCTGTAATGATATGACTCCTTATGCATGTCATCTTGCTAAGAGGTATTAGGAACATATCAGATAACTGTAATGGGCTTTATTACGATCAGATTAAAAAGTACAGGTCAGGAGTGTTATTGGGTTTAGCATTACTATCATTTCTTAGCTTGTCTCGCTCAATTGTTTATTCAACTTAAAGATGCAGCCTGTTCCTTGTTTTGGTTAAAAGGGAGTCAAAAGTGTTCAAATTGGTTTACCTTTATGCATGATACTCTATGATAAGCTTGTAATAATAATCATTTGAGGGGTCTGGTCGGTTTTGGTGGGAAATATGTGCTTGCTTGCCACTATTCTTTGCATATGTAATGTCTGTGTAAATTAGTAAGGTTATAAATAGGATCATTTATAACCTCCTCTCATAGCAGCTGGGATAATTAAACTTTTTCATTTGTTTATGTGAAATTTAAATAGGATGACAATTAGAAACATTTTTGTTTCTGCAAAGCTCTGATTCCTTTTTTTATGGTTGCCCTGGATAGGTTATTTGTATGTTATTTAAAATAACCATCTAGCAACGTTCTGGTTATGCTGTTTTATGGTTGCAAAAATAATCTAAAAGGAACTATAAGGTGTATAAGCTATTGCCAAATAAATAAATTAATAGTCAAAAATAAAACCTAAAAATAGCATTAAATAAAGTTATTGAAATTGGATTATTTTTTAAATGTTTATTTATGTGCTTTTTGCATTTTATAAAACAACAAAACTACAACAAAATTACAACAAAATATAGAAATACAATACAATAGTAATACATATAAAATACAATACATAAAAAAACACTAACCTATGACAGAACAACCGAACACAGAGGGACAAATGCACATGAAAGCAAAATGTAATTTAGCTGGTAATGCATAAATAAAAAGTTATTATAAAGTAACTTTGTTCTTATATTAGAAACAAATGCATAATCCTGATTATAGCTTTGTTGTCAAATATTAGTTTGAGCACATTGTTAAAAACATTAAAGATTATGAATAGTAAATATCAATTACATTTAATCTTTAATTACCGTGTTAATGTCGGGGGTCTTAATTTGGATTCTTTAAAAAAATTACCAACTAACATTAGGGCAACATTACACATTTGTAGGGTAATACAAAGTCACAATGCTGCTGCTGCAATGATGTTAAAATATAAATATTGAGAACAAACTTTAACAATGATAATAATTTGAATGATTTGACGGTAGCCTATATTATCAAAGCAGTTATGTAAATGTAATCACCACTGGCAACGTTTTGTTGTTCTCTCGGTGGGTCAGAACAGAAGCGGCAGACATTTTACTTACATGTTCGAATATACATCCTATTCACCAACAGCCACACCTGTTCCTCCTAACATTTCCTGAGGTGAGGAGCCGCGCCGAGTCTTTGTAATCCTATTATTTCAGTATAAATTCAATTTCAGGTTTTAACACAAAGGTGGTGACAAACAAGCAAAACTTACAGACGACAACTTTAACAAACCGGCGGGTCCTTGTGGACGAAAGAAAGCAGGAAGTATCTCTCCGAAGTGTTGGAAATGTGATGAAAGTGTGGATTTTGAAAGGATGTGGAGTCAGGGCTCGGAGGTGTGTGAAGCGGCACGAGGCCTGCTGAAAAAGCCCTCACTCCTGGGGAAAAAGTGTGAAGTTGAAGCTGAAGAGCATCAGCATCTTTACCTTTTAAGTTTGCTCAAACAGGGACACGCAGATGACCGGTCCAACGGGACCCCCTGAGGTAATATAACATTCTTTCAATTCTCTTCATCTGTGTGTGTGTGTTTGTGAGGCCGTTATCAGGGGGCCGCGAATAGTGAGCTAATCAGACTTAATGAATTACCTGAATTACCATATTAACACCCCGGTCACCTTGAAAAGAAATATTCTGGATATCGTTTAGTATTCCTGCAAGTAAAAGGCAATCACTCTTCATGTTATTTGTATTATATTACATTAGGCTAGCTAGTATTTTATATTGTAGCATACTTTATAATTACATTTATATGACTTGTTGTGTAATATACTACATAAATAAACAAAGGAGACATATTTATTCATTCATTCATTTTCTTTTCGGCTTAGTCCCTTTATTAATCAGGGTTGCCACATCGGAATGAACCGCCAACTTATCCAGCATATATTTTATGCAGCGATGCCATTCCCGCTGCAACCCAGTACTGGGAAACAACCATACACAATCATTCACACACATAAACTATGGCCTATTTAGTTTATTCAATTTACTTAAACCGCATGTCTTTGGACTGTGGGGGAAACCGGAGCACCTGGAGGAAACCCCCGCTACCACGGATAACTGCACTGTAAAACCAGTGAAACTCACTAAATGAAATGCCACACAGAAATGCCAACTGACCCAGCTGAGGCTTGAACCAGCGACCTTCTTGCGATGGGGATTATTACTTTACAGAGAAGATGGTATTTAAAGGCTTAAAAGCACAAACTGTTATTGATTCTAACACTGTATTTGCACGCAATTGACAAATAGTTACAGACAAACAAAAAAACTTAAGTGACAAGGCAGCATTAGTCTGATCGGGCCTGTAACGATCTTGTCTACTGAGGGTCTCGCACATTGGCCCTGGGCCATCGGGCAGTCCTTATTAGCCGCAGTTCCACTATCGGGCCAGTGCGAGCCAGGGCTTTAATCGGGCCGGGCCGGGCCAATAGCCCAGGAGGTTGAGAAATGAGGCCGAAATCATGTCGCGTTTCCACTGTCAGAGAACGCACCCGTCCATAATATAAAGCCACAGAAATTTTATATTTCTAATATAAAATTTCTAATATAAAATAATAATATAATTATATTTTTTTTATATTTTAAATTTGAAATTTTATTTTCCTTTATAACTCGATATGGCATGTATTTTATAACATCCTCGTTTTGATAGACGTCGTGTTAAGTGTTTCCGGCATAAGAGCGAGTAGCCTAATAAAATATAGCCATATTTGTTTCGCTCGGCAGCTATTCACTAAAGCTCTTCATTTAAAGTTTCATTTATAAATTTTACCACATCATATAACAACATAAACTCTTGTTTGAGGATATAGAACACATTTTGTGTTTGGGCTTTCCCCCAATGCGTTAAAGCGAGTGCTGCGCAGGACTGAGTGACAGAAAAAAAGGTTGGCTAGATTCTGCATTCACTCACCCAAATAATGCTCTGTTTGCGCGATTTGATTAATATCATCGTATCCAAATACTTTATAAATAATATTTCAAACCTTCTCCGGTGTTTATTGTTTTTAGAAAATATCTAAAATCTTTTTTTTTCAGACAGGGCCTAGGTCTTTGTAAAATGAAAGTTAGGCTATAAGTGGCTTTAAAACGGTTTGATTTATGTATTGTATATAGGCTACCTACATTGTTATAGCTAGCTTTTGTTTATTTTATATTGGTTTATTTATTTAATGCGATTTTATATATATCCGATATTTGTAATTCTTTAATTTCAATACAGCTTAGGCTATTTTATCAAGATATGACACTATATTGTTTAAAGTCTACGAAAGTGGGCATGTAATTTAAGTTTTATGTCTTTCTGTTGTATTTATATTGTGTATTATCTCAAAATCTGCCCGCTCGCGGCATCAACAGAGTTGTGAAGGGACTGCTCTTGCCCGGTCTTACACACACATACAGGCAGCTGGCCCTCCTTGGCCCAAGGTATTCGGCGGGCCGAAAAAGGCCGGCCGCTGGCCCCAAGAAAGCCCCGCTTTGGCCCGATTAGGCCCCGGAAGTGACAGTGGAAACGCCAGTAGCCTTGGCTCGCCCTGGCTCGTCCGCTTTAGGCGCGATAGTGGAAACGCGGCTATTGTTGAACGCTGATATATTGATCTAAGAGCCAAATCACACAGCAGAAATGTACAATGGGAATGTAGAAATGTGTTGGTATTAGAGATGCACCAAATTTTCAGCCACCGAAAATAGGTTATGCTATTTAATGGACCCTCTTATTTTGTGGCTTCAGTCATTGTTGGGATACTCCTAAATCTGTAAGCATTAAAAACTGATATGGAAATATACATCGTTATCGTTCAATATGGAGAATAATTAATTGAGATAGCATTTTTGCCATATCGCCCAGCCCTAGTTCAGGTGTAAGAAACAGTAATCTGACATGATGTCCCTGGATTAAAGATCTAATAGTCCAAATATGCTTACACTAAACTTTGTATTGGTAACAAGCGCAATTTATATAAAGCTGCCTTGTGTCCATCAGTGACAGCAGGAAAGTCAAAGTCAAATACAGTTTTCCAGAAAGAACGTCCAGTCTGACTCTGGTTTGTTCTTCGTCTGGACACTATGTCTGTCAGCCTGAAGCAGTGACAGGGTCCCTGGGGCGTCTGCGCTCCCTGTCCCACCACTGACAGTCCGTAATTCAGCACTAACCTCTACTGTGACCTACCCCTCACCCTGCCACTCCGCTCCTACTCCAAAACATGCAAGACTGGCGTTTGCACTTTTACTGTCCTTTTTTTTGCAGATTTACAGTGGAATACTAAACTCAAGGAGGTGAGAGCAGGAATCCGCGTTAAATATAGCACATCAGATTGAGTGTTTTTCACACACACACACACACACACATTCCGACCTGCTTTGGCAAGCCACTTTGGCTTTTATTCATTTGAAGGATATGATTTCTTGATGTCAGCAGTAGATTTTTCACTAGTTGAAATGATGATTCTTGAATTGAGGAATTGAATTTCTACTGTAGTAGCAATGACAGTTTTTGATATCAGGGATCACATTTCCAGTTTTAATAAAATCGAATAAAAATTTAATAATTATTGTATCTACTTGTAGTGACACGCAATAAAATAATGTAATAATTAAACATTAAAATTATGTTAAGCCGTCAAA